TCTGATTCTCCCCCGGATAAAATCCCTTATCCGGTTCTTCACTCGGCGATTCTCATTTTGTCTCGATCATCTCTCTAATCATCTCCGCGTCTCCCAGATGATCTCCGATTCTCTCCCGGATAAATTCCCTTATCCTGTTCTTCCCTCGGACATGGTCACGGTAATAACCGCTTCTCTCGGATATAGTCGCGAATTGATCCACAGATCATTCGCATCCCCTGACTATCATCGCGAGACGCTGACCATTCCTCTCATCCCACGGATAACTTGCCTTTCTCTCGGCTAAGTTTCCTTTATCCTGATCATCCCTCGGCGATTCCCATTTATCCCGATCATCCCTCGAATACTCTCTATTTCTTCCGGATGATCTTCAATTTCTCCCGGGTAATTTCCCTTTCTCCCGGATGATGCCGGACATCTCTCGGACATGGCCGTAGCACTCCGGCGATGACTCGACTGGAATCCGGACATCCCATTTTCCTCTCGGATATCCTGGGATAAATCGCCTTAGGCGTGGGAGATGATGGATTTTCCACGAAAATCCATCCTTATAAAGCTAATGGACGGGTTTCTTGTCCAAAAACCGCCCATCCTTCATACCCCAATCTCAGCCATTGATTCTTTCAATGGCCAGGATTGCACCCTTTGGATCACGGGCAGTTATTTGGCCATAATTACTTCTTGGCCGAGCTCCACCTGCCCAGCTGACTTACCACTACTTCAGTCACACCTTAGCTCGGTATCTAGCTGGTCAGTCCGCCCAGCTGGGTCAGTACTCGATCAGCTGACTGAGCTAGGTTGAGCTGCCGGTCAGCTAGTAGTCAGCTTGTTCAGCTATTAGCGAGCTGGTCCAGCTAGTAGTCAGTTACTTCAGCTTATCCAGCTCAACTATTCTTGCGAGCTTGATGATTCCGAATCATCTGATCCGACTAAGTCCTTCGGACTTGTTTCCTTAACTTGTTCACGATCAGCCCCTTTGATCTGAACCAAGTCACCCTTTTTCCTCGATACAAACAGGCCCACTATCCCAAGCCGGGATAGGGATGCCACAGTAGCGCTCTCACATATGTCTTCAGGATGACAGAGAGAGTCTGAACCAGGTATATCAGGGAAAGAAAGTGAAGTATCGTCTGTAAAAGGGAAGATGTCTTCATGAAAGATGACATTCCGTGAGATGAATACTCCATTTGTCTCCAAATCCATGACTTTGTATCCCTTATAGCCTGAAGGATACCCAAGAAACACACAAGCCTTTGAACGAGGCTGAAACTTATGGCGATTCTTGGATGAAGTTGAACTGTAACAGAGGCAACCAAAAACCCTGATTCCTGAATAGTCTGGTTTCTTTGAAGTCAGAAGCTGATAAGGAGATCTGTCTTGTAGAAGAGGGGTAGGAATACGATTGATGAGGAAGACGGCTGTTAAGACACAATTTGACCAGTACTCAAGCGGCAATTTTGATTGAAACATTAGAGAGCGAGCCACATTGAGAATGTGTTGATGCTTTCTCTCAACAACCGAGTTTTGCTCTGGAGTTTCTGGGCAGGAGTGGTAGGAGAGAATCCCTTTGGCCTTGAACAAGTCTTTAAACTTCAACTCAGGCGCATTATCAGATCGAACCCCTATAACCACTGTTTTATATTGTGTTTCCACCATCTTCAAAAAATCTGGAAAAATCGTAAGTGCCTCATCCTTAGTTCGCATCAGATGAACCCAAGTCACACGAGTATGATCGTCAACAATCGTCAAAAAATACCTATAACCCTCAACAGACGGAACTGAAAATGGTCCCCATGTATCGATGTGTAGAAGATCAAAAGCTTGACTACACATATTATTTTCCGAAGGGAAGGATAAACGCTTTTGTTTGGCAAGAGGACATATGGCACAATGAAAGGATTCTTTATTTCTTAGTTTGATTCCAAGTACATCAGTGATTATATCAATCTTATGGACAGATGGATGTCCTAACCTATTGTGCCATAAAGTCGTATCTACAATGATGTTCACTTGAAAAGACTGTAAAACAGATTGCTTGCCAACAGAAGCTGCATCCAAAACGTAGAGATTCGCAATTTCTTCACCCTGACCAATCATCGACCCCTTAGTAGGATCCTGTATCAAACACGAATCACTGTCAAAAGTCACTATATATCCCAAATCCTCTGTCAGTTGACTTATACTCATCAGATTGAGTCGAAAGTCTGGAATGTATAGAACATTATTCAACACCAGAAGATCATTGAGACGAATCTGTCCAGTACCCACAATCTTCACTCCTAACCCTGTGGGTAAGCTTACAGACTTATTCAAAGTTTCAGACAGACTGATGAACAAACTTCTATCATGACACACGTGATGTGTCGCTCCACTATCAATGATCCAAGAATTAATTGACAAAACATTCCCTGTTGCTCTCAATATCCCAACAAAGCATAACGTTGAGGATGAGAAAGCCATATCAGGTAAGGCAGTGATGGTACCACCTGACGTAGAAGGAGCATATTGCGTAGAAGGTTGAGAATTTGGAGGCTGAAGCTGAGAATTGAAGTAGGCAATGACTCCCTGAATCTGATCCTTGGTTAAGCTATTCAACATTCCCAAGACATTGGAATCATTGAGAGAGAGATTAGCAACCATTGGAGTAGATTGCTTTTCTGAATGAGTGGATTTTTCAGGTTGTGACTTTGTCTTGTGTTTGAAACCAGGGGGGGTAACCATGAATCTTGTAACATTTATCAATTGTATGTCCCGTATAGCCACAATGGGAACAAATCGGCCTGTTCTGTTTCGGATTGAAAGATGTTGATTGAGCAACATTGGCAGAAGCATTAGTCGTGTCAGGTCCTGAAACATTGAAGGCAGCGGCATTCTGGATTGGATTAATGTTTCTCTGGCTATAGTCTTGATCCAAAAGATTATACACTTCAGCTAGATCTGGTATGTGCTTCTTCATGATGATTTGACTACGAGCATGTGAATAAGAATCATTCAATCCAGCAAGAAACTTGATGATCTTTGTATGCTCCGTCTTGGTGGTGTTTGCCTTGCAACAATCACAATGTTGACAGGTCTTCACACAATCCGCTCCATCAAGTTCATCCCATAGAGTCTTAAGCTTTGTATAGTATGTCGAAAGATCCAAAGAACCTTGATGAAGAGACCAGATTTGTTGTGTGAGCTGATAAGACCTTGGCAGATTTGTGATTCTAAACCGGGTTAAGAGATCTTTCCAGATTTCAGAAGCATCATTAAATCTGAGAATGCTTCCATAGATCTGTTTGGTTACAGAATTCAATATCCAAGATTTCACCATGCTATTGCAACGTGACTAAATCCGGTAATGAGGATGCGTTTCTAATGGTCTAGGCAATGATCCATCTACGAAACCAAGCTTGTTCTTTGCATCTAAGGCTATCGTAATGGCAAGATTCCAAGTGTTAAAGTTTGTTCCATCGAGTACCTCAGAAATGATAGAAGCTCCAGGATTGTCACCGCTTGTTAAGAAGTATGGGGAATACTGGATTCTGTCAAAATTGAACTGATCTTGAGAGACATATTGAGGAATCGAGTTTGGGATGACAAAGGATGGCACTGGAACCATTGGAGGAGCAGGATTTAACGAAATCGTCGCCGGAATAGGAGGATCGGGAACAGAGATCGTCGGAATAGATCGATTTTCTGTTCGCTCCGCCGGATCAGATCCTTTCGCTGCCGAATTGGAACCACGAGCAACACGTCGAGATGATTTGCGAAGAGTAACCATCATTCGCGAACACAATACTCTTGAAAAACGGCGGAATAACCGAAATCAAACAATAAGAACAGATCAATCGGAAGAAGGAACCGACGAATCTAGGTCAAAGAAGAGAAGAGAAAAAAAATTCGGAATTGTTGAGTTTCATGCTCAACGCTCTGATACCATAACATAAAGATGGAGCAAAGGAGAGAACAAGTTGAAAATGATTCATTCTATTCTTCATTGTTTACAATTCATCTCCTTTTATAATAAGAGAGATTACCGGTTAACACTTAACCGAGTAATATAAAGTTGATATATCTAATATGTATCGATTAAAGTCTAAACAAAAAACAGTAACATGATTTTACCATAAATCTAACAACTTAACAAGTTTACCTGTGAGAACCCTTGGAAACCTCTTATATGTCCAACTAAACAACTAAACGACTACTCAAACATGATTGAGTAACTCATCATTGATTTATTAAAGGAAATTATGCAAAATTTGTAAAAATTTGAACGAAATTATAAAATAAAAAGAATTGAAAATAGAAAATGAAAATAAAGTAAAGAGATTAAAAGATGGAAGAACAGAGTGACGAAGTCTGAGAAGGCGGCTTTCGCTCATCACTTCTCTTTGTGTGGCTGCTCTTGCATCCTCCTTCCTCTCCTCCTAGAAAAAAGTGTGTCTTCTGAAACCCTGGGAGTCCTCCTTATATAGGCCTCTTGGTTTTCATTAACTTTTTCGGGTTTTAAGTGAATGCGTCCATTATAAGAATTGTTATAGATAATTTTGCTTTACATATATATACTTTTATGTTTATCTTCAACAGAAGAAGAGGCATTGCCATGGGAAATACGGGTTAAGATTGTCATGGAAACAGCTCGAGGTCTTGTGTTTATCCACTCCATCAAGAAGAACCCGCTCGTTCAGTAATCATTTGCCTCATTACCCGTGACAACGCTTGCTACGTTTGTGACTTAAAAGGCACGAATGTCACATGGGTTACATTGATAGTATAACCAATTGAAATTTGTAATCTCAAAAGGTAAAAATTAAACGAAAAATAAAGATTTTAGGCGAGAGTAAACGACCAAATACTTAAAAAAGACATCGACTGATTTTTTTAACTCAAAGATGGAATACTTAGGAACTTTGACACCAAAGAGCTAAACAAGAGAAAGTTGTAAATCCAACACGTTGTGTTTATATGTCAAAGTCAATTTGTAGATCCAACTTTAACACTTCTCAATTTCCTCACATTTCCATTGGTGCTACATCTTGATCACCTGAACCACCTTGTTCCGCCGGTGCAGCAGCAGCACCACCCTCGGCCTCGGCGTCACCCTCACCGGCATCTTCTCCTTCCTCGGGAACCTTCTCAAACGTATCAATCACCTTCTGTATGCTTTCCTGGTCCAAAAAATGGAACGGTTCATCGACTCCTAGAACAGAAACCGTGCAGAGCGAGCTCTTGAGTGTTTCCCCTTGCAAAGTCTCCCTTATGGCCAAAATAGCATCTTTTATCAGGTCTTCTCTTGATGATTCTTTGAACCTCTCGAATCTTCGTTCAAGATAAGTTTTCGCAGCTTGTGAGCGAGACCCGATTGCAAACGCTTGATATTCAAAGTAGTTTCCGCTTGGGCAGTTGTAGTAGAGGTGGGCTCCTGACTCGTCCAATCCACCTACCAGCAAACCCACACCATAAGGCCGTTTCCATGACCGTTGGGTACATACCTGCTCAAGGAGAAGTATGAAGAAGGTAAACACAAGACGGAACAAATGGGTTTCACCAATGAATGAAATCAGAGTGTATTGTTTCAAAGTGCACGATGTATGAAGGGATCTTCTCAGAAATCAACCGAAAATGTCAATACAGTAGTTAACTAAACCTTTTTGAAGTTGTGAATACAACATCTAACTTTTTTTTTTTGGTCAAACATCATCTAACTTGTGAACATGTAGAACAACATCTTAGTGGAAAAAACAGTTCATCAGGCAAGTGAAGAGAGGGTGAGACACACCACAAGTATGTGAACAAAGGCAAAGGTAATATAAGTCGAAACCACAAAACCAAAAAGATCCATTTTTTTGACAGCTTTCTTTATCAAGTGCAGAGAATAGACGATGCAACCAGAAACAAATACAATATACAAGTAAAGCGTAAAAACAACACATCATTCCTATATAGTTTTATTGCGGAATTAGGTACTTTTAAGGCATTCTCTTGCTGAAGGCTAAACCTTTGTGTACAGAATATTCAAGAGGCTAACAGTAAGCAAGAGAACCGGACCTCAAGAAGCTCTAATTCACAAACATTGCAAAACACATACAACTTTTACTCATGGTATTGACCGCATTGCTTTAGCAAAACATAAACTTTACTGCAATTTCAAAAAGCTTAGAGTTCTGTAAATCAGGTCACCTCAAGTACACATCCTAAAGGTAAAGTCATTAAAAAAAAAGTGCCGATTTTAGGTCAATAAATCACACCAAAAAACAAGTATGAATTTACGATTAGCAATAGAATTGGATATGATTAACAGCTCAAGAAGCTCTAATTCACAAATCACAATCATAAAGACTTACTTCTTGCATAGCACATACATAATGACCACATTGCTTAGCAAAAAAGCATAAACTATACTCTAATTTCAGAAATCTAATTATACATTGCGCGAATTTTAGGTCACCGAATCCAACCGAGAATCAAGTGTATGATTAACGAAATCGGAAGCGGCGAGAGGAATGAAAGAGGATAACCTGGGCCTTATCAGCTAGACGAACGACGAGACGGCCAACGGGAAGAGGAGACTCATAGGTGAAAGAGTGATTGATCGATTCAGATCTCATGTAGCGAGAGAGAACACGACCATCGGCGGTGAGACCAGCGATGGCGACGCCGATATGGTCATCGACTTTGAAGATCTTCCTCTGGTGAGAAGAGAGCTCCGATTGGGCTTTATTGACACAGGCGAGGACGACATGGGAGCGAGATCTGAGTCCAATTGCGGCGGAGCCTTGCTTCACTGCTTCCATGGCGTACTCTACTTGGAAAAGACGACCCGTGGGACTCCATGTAGTCACGTCTGTGTCGTACTGGTTCCTGAACATCTTTGCTTCTTCTTTTTCGTCTTCTTCGTCGAAAGGGTTTATACAACAGAGGAAAGCTTTTCGTTTGGTTCTACGGATGGTTTCTCTTCGAAGAAGTGAATGGGCTTATAAATCTGAAACTGGACTTATTATGGCCCGAACCACAGTTAATATTTTTTTATTGTAAACTCTTTTTTAAAAATCGAATCAAATTTTTGAAGGCATAGTTGTTGGAGCTGGATTTAACATCCTAAATTCGGCCCACTCAAGCTCAACAGGCATATTCAAACTAAGCCAAATTGATAGGGCTTCGACTCTACGGTCCAGATCTATTCACTCTCGACGATCCAATCCTGAACAACAGAACGTTCCATTCGACGAGGTCGAGCTCCAGTTCGACCGAATTCCGAAGAACAAGGAAGGATCCGAGCCAAGTCAGAGCATATTGTCGCCAGTTCAAACGAGTCTGAAGATCGCAGAAAAAGTTGCTGCACGTGGCGAGATTTCCGGCTAAAGCTGCTGCACGTGGCCGAGATACGCACTAGAGTTCGAAACTCGACGAGGCGAGCTATATAAAGGAAGGGAACGGCTCAGTTTAGGAGACTCCTCTTCGGCTTGATCTTTACACTTTTTACACTTGAAAACTCTGTAACTGCACCCAGAGCTCTTTTCAGTTCATCTTCTTTATCGAAATCTTTGTAACCGTTTCATTCAACCGATTAATACCAAATCCTTATTTCAGTTAGTGCTTGCTTGTACAGTCAATTTGTTCGAGAGAATCTAGTCCTTAATTCTTCTAAGTTTCTTCCCTTACAAAAACACATAAATTTCTGAGTGTGAATTTCTGTATCCACATTTTGGCACTGTCTGTGGGGAAGATCTATAGATTTATCTTACTCAAGAGCAGATCCTAAGCTAGCTGAAACCAAAATGGATTCAACTCAACAAACCTCGAGAAACGTCTCACCAATTCCGACTCTCCAGATCAAGTTACTCCGACCGGCAACGTCAGCCAGACAGCCGGCGGAAACGAACCCAGGGTTACGACCCTCATCGATTGCCACCGGCACGAACTCCAACATTCCCAGCGGTGTGGAACCGATCGTGATCAACCTCGTCACCCCACCGGGAACAACGAGTAATCAGTCACAAACAGCTGAGAGGCCTCCCTCTCGAACCTGGGTGCGATCCGAGAATCCACCTACAGCTTCGGTATCTCAGAACCGATCAGCTCATGTTTCCCCGCCGATACCCAAAGCTTATAGGAGCACATCGGAGTCGGCAGAGATACTCCAAATGCTCACACATCTGATCGATCGACAACGAGATCAGGAGATCAGATTAGAAAGACAAGAAAGGCGTCAAGCCGCAGCTCGATCCGCTGCGAGTCCACCTCCACGGACTCAACTCGACTTTTCATCGATCCTGGCTCAGAGTAATCCACCCGGACCATACGTGACACATCTGCGTGCTCCAGGTCCACCAAACTTTGCCCCTGCGGCGAACCAGACACCAATCGCCACGGATATTCTGGCTCCAGGAATACCAGAGATGGGACCTCGCCCCGTGACGAGATATCCATCTCCGCATGTGCCAACATCAGGAATACCCGAAATGGGACCTCATCCCAACATAAGATATCCATCTCCACCTTTAAGACCACCTGGAACCGAACCACCTCGACATAGATGGCTTGGGTCCTCGGCCTTCGCCTCGAGCTCGCAGACACCACCCCACTTCGGCCAACAACCGAACACGACCTCGAGCTCGAGACTTCTTAGCAGGGAAACGTCTCACCAATTCCGATCTCTCCAGATCAAGTTACTCCGACCGACAACGTCAGCCAGACAGCCGGCGGAAACGAACCCAGGGTTACGACCCTCATCGATTGCCACCGGCACGAACTCCAACGTTCCCAGCCGTGTGGAACCGATCGTGATCAACCTCGTCACCCCACCGGGAACAACGAGTAATCAGTCACAAACAGCCGAGAGGCCTCCCTCTCGAACCTGGGTGCGATCCGAGAATCCACCTACAGCTTCGGTATCTCAGAACCGAGCAGCTCATGTTTCCTCGCCGATACCCGAAGCTTATAGGAGCACATCAGAGTCGGCAGAGATACTCCAAATGCTCACACATCTGATCGATCGACAACGAGATCAGGAGATCAGATTAGAAAGACAAGAAAGGCGTCAAGCCGCAGCTCGATCCGCTGCGAGTCCACTACTCCTCTTACTACAGGACGTTTACCTAACCAACGTTTCGATCCGGCTCTACCCAACACGGACTCAACTCGACTTTTCGTCAATCCCGGCTCAGAGTAATCCACCCAGACCATACGTGACACCTCTGCGTGCTCCAGGTCCACCAAACTTCGCCCCTGCGGCGAACCAAACACCAATCGCCACAGATATTCCGGCTCCAGGAATACCAGAGATGGGACCTCGTCTCGCGACGAGATATCCATCTCCGCCTGTGCCAACATCAGGAATACCCGAAATGGGACCTCGTCCCAACATAAGATATCTATCTCCACCTTTAAGACCACCTGGAACCGAGCCAACTCGACATAGATGGCTTGGGTCCTCGGCCTTCGCCTCGAGCTCGCAGACACCACCCTACTTCGGCCAACAACCGAACACGACCTCGAGCTCGAGACTTCTTAGCAGGATCCGCGAACAACCTATAGGGTTCATTCAACAACAGCTTGGAACTCATATTCCGAATGATCCGACTTGGGCTAACCCTCGGCGTCGGCTCAAGAAACCTAGTCGACTGCGTATCCTTCGAAAGGTTCCAGAACCAGACCGACTACGCCATTCGGCAGATGAACTCCATGTTCCATCAAGCCACGAGCTCAGCTCCCGACATCGATCGAGTAATTCGCGAGACCCAACGGACTCTGTTCACCTACTCGATCATGAACACAAACCTCCGAGACACTACCAAAGTACGAGTCCCAGAATACGCTGGAAACAGCGACCCAAAAGCTCACATCCGACTCAACAACCTCGCAGCTATCCGAGCTAACTTCTCCCCAGAAGAAAAAAAGCAAAATATTGCAGGCTCTTCGCCAAAAACTTAGTCGGACCAGCTCAGGAATGGTTCCGACGTTGGAAGAGAATTCAATCTCGAATTTCAACAAGCTTGCAATAGCCTTCCTCAAGCAATATTTGATCTTCATCGAAAAACGAGAAACCAAAGCCGACCTCTGGAGATAGTCCAAGCTCCAGACGAACCGTTTCGATCATACATTGCTAAGTTCAAGGCGATTAAAGCAAAAATCGCTAACCCTAACGAAGCAGTAGCCCTGCTCGCCCTCTGAACCAACCTTTGGTACCAGTCGAAGTTCAAGGCGGAGCTCACGCTTTGACCTACGGACTCACTCGATGACGCGCTCCATCGCGCTTCCATATACGCTAACTTCGAGGACGAAACGGCTGCCTGCAAAGCAAAATACCGTAACTCATAGCTCTACCTCGCACCCTCCGGGTCGAAGAAAGCTAACGTTCCACCTCCCAAAAGGGAGTCGCAGGGCAAAGGTCAGCATTCGTATGCTATAGAAAGCTTGTCCCCCGAAAAAGAGTCGAGCTTCGACCAAAGCAAATATTGCGAACACCACAAGAAAAACGGACATTCCACCAAGGAATGCCGAACTCGAGCCAGAATCCTGGCGAAAAAACTCGTCATCCAAAAGCACCTCAAAAACGAGATCGCGAAGTCAAAGTCGAAGTCCAAACCCCTGACTCTCCTCCGTCAGCGAGAAAAAGGATCGACCTAATTTTCAGAGAGCTAAACCGAGCATCACCCAACTCTCGACACCTCGACACCTCGAACTCAAGCGAGCTCTAGCTCACACATCGCTCAGCTCCTCGGGGGGGGGGGGGGGGGGGGGGGGGGGGGGGGGGGGGGGGGGTGGGGGGGGGGGGGGGGGGGGGGGGGGGGGGGGGGGGGGGAGGGGGAGCTACCCACAATGAAGCGAATCGACTTCATCTGCGGAGGCTTGAAGATGTGCCGAGACTCAATCAACTCGATCAAGGCATATCAACGCAAGGTCGAGTCCGCCACTGTAAACCTACCTCTGGACGGACCCGACCACCAAATAAGGTTTCTAGAAAGCGAAACGCTGTCTCTAGACAAACCACATGATGATGCACTCGTCATCCAGATCGCTGTAGGCGGTTTCAACATCACGAGGGTCATGATCAATACCGGCAGCTCGGTAGACGTGCTGTTCTTTGATGCCTTTAGACGCATGAGATACCAAACGTCCATGCTGTCGAACGATCGAACTCCACTCACGGGCTTCGCAGGAGAAACCACCTACTCGTTAGGAACCATCCAGCTTCTAGTTAAGGCCGGCGGAGTCATAAAAACAATCGACTTCGTGGTCGTAGATCGCCCATCTCCAATTAATGCCATACTCGGCAGACCGTGGCTCTACGCGATGCAAGCTGTAGCTTCCACATACCACCAATGTGTCAAGTTCCCAACCCCTTGGGGAACCAAAGCGATACACAGCTCCCAACGAGCCTCAAGGGATTGCTACATGGGCAGCTTCTTGCGAGCCGAGAAAGCTCTCATATAGCAACTACAGAAAGAGGAGGAGCTCGCAGTCCGACAACTTAAACACAATAAAGACCCTTCCGTATGCGAACCTCGAACAGAACTGATTGAGCAAGTATGCATAGACGAGGTCAACCCCGAAAGGCGCGTTGGAACCGGGGTCGACCTCGCGAAAATAATTCATAGATTTTCTAAAAGAAAACATAAGCACTTTCGCATGGTCCACTGCGGACATGCCGGGCATCGACACAGAGGTCGCCGCACACGAACTCAACATCGATCCAACCATCAAACCCGTCAGACAAAAATGCCGCAAGCTCGGTCCAGATCGAGCTAAAGCATTCAACGATGAGGTAGACAGACTACTCAAAGTGAGATCGATCAGGGAGGTGAAATACCTCGACTGGTTAGCAAATCAACGCAAGGTCGAGTCCGCCACTGTAAACCTACCTCTG